ACGTAGAACTTCATACGTACATACGTACATAAGTTCAAGTTGACATACCACATTAGCACAGAGACGTAATTGTCAATTCAAATCCCACACCAGTAGAAATAGTAGAAGTGTAGTGAAGGAGAACACAGGTGAGAGCAACCGAATTGTATTTATCGCAGATTACAGAGTTACTCAGTAAAATAGGAAAACCATATCGTAAACGGTGGTTAATTTGCAAATCTTCAATCCATCATCAATCCATTGTCTGACATTTCACTTTGCATGCATTTCATACAAATTCCATTGTGTTCTAACTCTTCTTTTCTTGATTTTCCCTCATCTTCTGCTGCCAGACATTACGTTGAAACTCAAGTCATATACTACTTATAAGTAGCTCGCACCACAGAAGTATTAGCAGTAATGGTGAAGATTAGGGTTCGAAGAAATTATTCAAGTATTACTGAGTGAAATAAATCTAGAAAGAAAGAGAACGATGATGACGAATTCTGATGATTAAAATTTGAGAGGACACAAAGAGTGGATGTGTATGCGCCTTTGCAAACGACGTTGAGCCATACCGTTCAAGGTTTCTAATCATCGGTTAGTATCATCTCGCGGACTTCAATCAGGTAGTCGACACCTACAGACATGACTCAGTCCACTTGTCAGTGACTTCATGGATTTGAGCCATGTTCTGGTTTGGCCGATCCCTAGCATACGCGACATATGTGTTAACCACCTCAACTGATGAAGTTTCACTACTTCATCTACAGATCTACCATCCCTACCTAGTGCTCGTGATTCCTAACAACAGCATTGCTTACTCGGTTTTCCCACAATATACGAGAAATGCTTCGAAGACATCTATAATCGAATACTAATAACCTACGAATAGACTCAACTCTTACCGGCCATTTTTAGCATCCATATAGTAGTCTACATCTAAGAACATGACTCAACTGGACTTACTAACCTAATGGCATTTAGCACCGAACGTTACTAATTGGGAGTCCCTAAAAAAACATCAACTCTGCGATGCAGACACATCCAGTTGATGAGCCCCAAAAACACGCGTCGTAGATTTCATTTACTAGTTATCATTCATCTCTGTTTAAAATTACATACACATCTATTTCGAATAAATAGGGAATAACAATTACAATTTTATTTACCATGATTGAACTAGACTGATCTATTATTCGTGATACTTCAAGATTATTAGATCTTTTTGCATGAAGGAGTGATTGTTGTTGTTGTTGGTGATGATGGCGAGAGGCATCAATCGATCCATTATTATTATTACTATTATTATTATTATTATTATTATTACTATTAGTAGTAGTATTTGATTCAACAACCTGGCCAGAATTACAGTTTGTAACATATGTAAATGATAACAAGTTATTATTAGTTTGACCAATATTGTGAGATGATAAGACAGGAGGATATGATGAATGATGATGAGTAGCACTTGACAGTAGATCTATTTGTTCAGCCATAGTACGATGAATTAGATCTGCTGTAATACAGAATAACGAAAAGTGTATTATGATAAACAATCTCTATAGGATTAAAGAAAAGATTGAAAGCTAAGTTTACGAGAATATATCTTCTCCGAGTTCTAGTGAGAAGACGTGACCAGTTTGGGTGTAGACAGTAACTACCGAAGACAGTGTATGAGGTTGCGCAACTCCATGAATTTGATCAAGTTAGACATTAACACTGTTAGATACCGGCTCAATGGTCCGATGGTTAGGCATCTGAGCACCATACTGAAGGTCCTGGGTTCGAATCCAGCGGGGTGCATGATTCGTGGATGCGCACTGCTGAGGAGTCCCATACCGGGACGAAACGGTCGTGTAGTGCTTCCAGGTTCCTAATGGTGGTCTAACATTGATCGATTCATGGTTTCAAAAATACAATAATAATAATAATAATGGCAATACTATTGGTTGTAACTTTGATCTCGACATATGATAAATTCATTTAATTTAATTAGCAAATCTGGTTTTCTGGTTAGCGTTATTTTAGCGAGTAGGTTTTCTTCGGGATGGGATGTGATTAACCCCAAACCCAACCCTTTTCCTTTATCCGGGCTTGGGACCGGTAGTAGCCACAGAAGGGCTCCAGACAAAGTTCTGCAAATCTCGTCCTCCTCATTTTGACTTGTCAGGGGATTAAGATGCATGAAAAGGGAGTGTTTGTTGGATTTATTCTCGGTATCTATTCTAAAGAGTTTGTGACTGAGTCAGTTTAAGTACAGATCTAATGCAAAAATAAATTGATCTATGTTGTTATCAGCATATCCTTCAAAAACAGCCATCCAAACTTTCATCTTATCCTGTGCTGATAAAGAAGTACAATAATTCGAGGCGATACATATTTATGTAAGGTCCTTCATTATCAAGTTCTTTTTCAATCCGCTAAATGTATTATGATGATATTGAAAGAATTAATACTTTGCGTGAGATTCAAACTTGTATCAATTAATGATATTATTCACTGAACTATCTGAACACCGAGAGACCTCGGTAGAATTTCATCAGAACCTAAGATCAGGGGGCAGTCTGAACAATAAACGACTTTTTTCATTAGAACTGATTTGTTAGGATGAAATATATTTTGTGATAGATAAACTACTCATAAAAAAAATAACATATACCGAAGTTGTTTTTTTTATTTTACAGAAAACTCTGTTTACACAAAAAGCCAGAAAACTAATTTTGTTTTCAGCTCTAGTAGTGTTGGGGATGTTAGATCCCCAAAATTCGCTTGTTAAATGCCTTATTTTGGTTTTTACGTTTGCCAGCATGGGCTGATCAGTTGACCTTGAGATTTAATTTTCCACCAGGAAAATTCATGGCTGTGATTGGCTGCTGTGTATTTTAGTGTACTATTTTCTTAACTGTCGCAAGTAGTAACATTGTACATTATTCAATAGTTAGAAATGAAAATGAATAAAATATAATTTAGGAAAAAAGAAATACTTACTAGTATTAACAACTGCAGCATCGGTTACAACCACATTGGATGATTCTTCCATAGGACTACCATTAACAATATTTTCGGAATCAGGATTAACAGAAGTAGTAGTATTAGTAGTAGTGGTGGTGGCATTGTTTTCACACGATAAATTATGATGATTACATGAAGAGATTGAATCAATGATATCTGGTGGACAAGAATTTAAATGAGGATTACGCAGCAATGCAGATGTTAATGAGGATGAGAAAGAGGATGCAGACGGTAAAGGTAGATCTTTATCAGTGACAGCTGAAATTTTTTTTAAAAAAAAAGATTATAATGTTAAAGTTAGTTAGGATGAAAAAAAAAGAAAAATTTGATCACATTTTAGTCAGTCAGTCAGATGCAACGTAGAACTTCGTATGTAAGTACATCAGTTCATGTCGCCATACCATATCAGCACAGAGATGTAATTGTCAATTCAAATCCAATAGTAGAAAAGGTAGTAACGGTATTAGAAGTAATCGGAGAGGTTAGGATTAGAAGATATTATTATTAAGTACAACCCTAAGAGGCTTTCTTACGGTGTCTTTCCTACGTCCAGTAAGCTTCAAACAAATACGAGCTCGCACTAGGGCATGATCTGAATCTAAACATGTGCCCCAGAACGAGCGACAGTCTTCTATCGAACCCCTCCATCGGTAGCTGATGGCAATGTGATCTAGTTGAGTCTAACGTTGAGATGACTTCGGCGGTCGCCAGGTCAACAGATGCTTTTCCTTATGCTTAAAGTTAGTGTTTGCTAAGAATAGGCGGTTATCTCAGCATAGTTGCAACAGACGGTCGCCATTGTCTGTTCTCTCAGTCGCTACACCATAACATCCACCTAGATGTCTCTCCTGCTCACTTAGTCTACCTACTTGAGCATTAAAGTCACCAGCCATTATTACTATATCAGAGCGCCTAGCTTTTTGGAGGAGGTCCGAAAGCTTTCTGTAAAACTCATCTTTAACCTCGCCTGAACTGCAGTCAGTGGGGGCATAGGCAGATACGACGAAGAGGCAACGACGAGTGTCCCTATCTTTCCGAGTCCTTACTATCCCGTTTAGTCGGACAGCGCACAAGCGACTATCTACTGGGATCCACTCTAGGAGATATTGTTCAGCTCTACGACTGAATGCTATGCCTACGCCAGCAAGACCCCTGGAAGCAGCATCAGGGCTTCCAGATACACGAAGAGTAAATCAAGCTGCTTCTTTATTTTGACAAGGTAAAATCAGTTTAATAATTTTACCAGGATCCTGTATGCGCGTTTCTGAGACGCAGCATACATCGATGGAGCGAGATTCTAAAGTCCTAGCTAATGATGCCTGTTGCCCTATTTGACACAATGTCTGTACATTAAAAGCCCCCACATTTAGTATAGAACGGGGTTTCAGGAGACCAGAAATAACGTTTCGTGAGCTCGCATCAGTCAGTCAGTCAGTTGCAACGTAGAACTTCGTACGTAAGTACATCAGTTCATGTCGCCATACCACATCAGCACAGAGATATAATTGTCAATTCAAATCCAATAGTAGAAGAGGTAGTAAAGGTATTAGAAGTAATCGGAGAGGTTAGAATTAGAAGATATTATTCACGAAGTGTGATTCAATGAGATAAGTTTAGAAAGTAAAAGCTAGAGGTGTTGAAGAACTCAGAAGATTAGGATTTGAGAGAACACAAAGAATAAATGCACTGGCGCCATTGCGAACGATTTTCAGCCATGTCATTCAAGGTCTCTAACCATCGATTATTATCATCTCGCGTACCCCAACCAGGTAGTCGACAATTACCGACATGGCTCAGTCCACTCGTCAATGACTTCATGGATTTATGCCATGTTTTGGTTTGACCGCCCCTAACTTTCTTCCAACCTATTCCTACACCACAAAACAAAGCTCGACGAGGCAGTCGGTGGTTAGGCATACGCAACACGTGTCCCAACCACCTCAACCGATGAAGTTTCACCACTTCATCGATTGATCTGCCATTCTTACCTAGAACCCGTTTCCTAATAACAGCGTTGCTAACTCGGGTGTCCCACGATATACGAGCAATGCTTCGAAGACACCTATGATCGAAAACCAGTAACCGACGAGTATCTTCTACTCTCATTGGCCATGTTTCACAGCCATAAAGTAAGACAGAGCGAACCACTGCGCAGTACACTCGTCCTTTAGTCAGCAAACGGATATCTCGCCTACGCCATAAGTGACGCAGGTTGGCAAAAGCCAATCGAGCCTTCTGTATCCGTGCCGAGATTTCGTCAGTCACCAGGCCATCAGCACTGATGAGACTCCCAAGATAGGTGAAGCGGTCTACACGTTCGACCACTTCACTCCCTATCACTAGTTCAGGTGCCGATGACACCCAGTCTTGAAGCAACATTTTGCATTTCGAGGGGGAAAACCGCATCCCGAACATGCTTGCATTGTTGCTTAGGGTAGTCAGAAGACTCTGCATTTTGTCAGCGTCTTCACCAAGTAGGACTATGTCATCGGCATATTCTAAGTCAATAAGCGAGCCACCTGGTAAAAGGTCTACTCCTGAAAATTCGGACGAGGATAAGGTAAGTTCTAGGAGCATGTCTATGATAAAATTGAACAAGAATGGAGAAAGTGGACATCCCTGACGGACACCACTTGATGTAGAGAATTCCGGTGACAGTTCGCCATAAGCCCTCACTCGACCAGTGGTGTTCGAGTATAGGGCTTGTATAAGGTTAATGTACTTCTGTGGTACACCTTTCAATGACAGACACTGCCACAGAACCTCACGATCCACTGAGTCAAATGCCGCCTTAAGGTCCAGGAAAACAACTATTGTAGGACGCCTAAATGTGTGTCTGTGTTCCAGGACCTGTCGTAGTGTGAAAATGTGGTCTATACAGCCACGTCCAGGTCGAAAACCAGATTGGTTTTCTCGAGTTTGCTCTTCACGAGCTTTCGTTAAGCGTCGAAGTATTATTGAGGCCAATATTTTAGATACTATGTTAGTTAGGCTTATTCCCCTGTGATTGTCACAAGAAGACTTCTGTCCTTTCTTATAGATTGGGACAATCAAGGATTGAGACCAGTCGGATGGGATTGCGTCCAGTTCCCAGATTCTACCTACGATCTCAGTCAACCTAGCTGATAAAACTGGACCTCCATCCTTAAATATCTCAGGGGTAAGTCTATCAGGACCTGCAGCTCGTCCTCGTTTCAGATTTCCTAACGCTTTCTCAACTTCATTAAGACTAGGGGGACTTAGGTCGATTTGCCATTCAGGATGACTGGAGATCGTGGGTAACCGAAGAGTGGCTCGTGGCCAGTTGAACTGATCCCTAAAGTGTTCTGCCCATCGATCCAGTCTCCTGGATTGAGAATGGATAATAAGACCATCCTTTTCCGAGATAGTCTCACTCACATTCGGGTTCTTAATACCAGTTTCTTTAATAAGGCGGAAAAGTTGTCTACTGTTGCCGATCGCCGCTGCGTATTCCATCGCTTTTGCTTTCGCCACCCACCACTGCTCGCGATCGTTACGTAGGCTTTTCATAAGTCTGCGCCTAAGTTGACTTCGTTCTTCATCATGTTCAGAGCCAGGTGGGATGCGTTTTCGGGCATCCATCAGATCGGTGGATGCTACTGAGATCCACGGTTTCATTCTAGCCTTATGGTCAACCTCACTAGCAGATATCACTGCTGTTTCCACAGCCTTTTTGATATCATTCCATCCTGCTTCCGGATGGAAATCGCTTAAATGGTCGCCTAACTGTCTTTCTAGTTGTTCCTGAAATATATTTTTCACCTTATTATCATTAAGCAAAACCCTAAGAGGCTTTCTTACGGTGTCTTTCCTACGCCCAGTAAGCTTCAAACAGATACGCGCTCGCACTAGGGCATGATCTGAATCTAGGCATGTGCCCCAGAACGAGCGACAGTCCTCTATCGAACCCCTCCATCGGTGGCTGATGGCGATGTGATCTAGTTGAGTCCAACGTTGAGACGACTTTGGAGGTCGCCAGGTCAACAGGTGCTTTTCCTTATGTCTAAAGTTAGTGTTTGCTAAGAATAGGCGGTTGTCTGAGCATGTTTGCAACAGACGGTCACCATTGTCTGTTCTCTGAGCCGCGACACCATAACATCCACCTAGGTGTCTCTCCTGCTCACTTAGTCTACCTACTTGAGCATTAAAGTCACCAGCCATTATTACTATATCAGAGCGCCTAGCTTTTTGGAGGAGGTCCGAAAGCTTTCTGTAAAACTCATCTTTAACCTCGTCTGAACTGCATTCAGTGGGGGCATAGGCAGATACGATGAAGAGGCAACGGCGAGCTCGCATCGTTTGCATTAGCTATGCAGTGTGATAAAGGAATGTGAGAAGAGTTAGTCGTGGAGATAAGAGAGGTGTGTGTTGGTGTAGGAAGGATTTGACTTTGACCAATTTGCTCTCGTGTGCTGTTACGGGTATGAGGACAGGGGTTAGAAATAGTATTCAGAGGAAGAAAATTTAGCAATGATCAATAATTGTAGGTGAAAAATTCAGGTTGTGACGACAATATGAGAGGAAATTTGGGACGATAACCTTGAGACTTGGGATTTTTAGAACAAATTAATCACGGTAAGCTTCATTAAAATGTATTCTATTAAAAAAAATAATATTTCTAGAAACTATTTCAATTAAATAGCGATAGTCACAGTTTAAAACTGAATTGATCAGGTAATTGTACATGCTAAAATGAAAATGAGACTAAACACATGAATCAAAAACTGTGTCAAGAAAACCCCTTTACCTAAAAAGATGAATACCTTAAGGGAAATGTGTACACTTAAGGCCTGATGTTCACAGCTGTGGGCTTCCAAACAATGTGTTAGGTTCGAACCCCGTCCTATTTACTTTACTTTAAACAGACGAGTAGTATAACTATGCATGAATGGAAAAAATTGTGATTGAAAGCCGATTACATAAACCTGTTTCGTATAAACCCCGGCTAGATTAATTCCAAAACATCTATTATCTTAATTAAGCACAACACGACCACAAATAAACGAGCTTATTGTCAAATATGAAAGTGGTCAACAACGATACGAAAGTAAACATTCGCGGAACCTACTTATGATTAAACCACTTTCGTAGGAAGTGAACGAATTTGATTACTTTTCAAAAGCCCACTCAATCCTTTCTGGATAAGAATGTGCATTATAAATATGTACTGACTGATAATAGTGTCCTAGGCAATAAATAAGGGAGAAAGCCTTTTTCCTAGTAAAAATATTTTTACT